CCTCTCTTTCTCTCCCTCTCCTTCTCTCCCTCCTTCTCTTGGGCCTCCCCTTCCCCCTCGGCCCAGCTCCCTTTTCCTCCCCTCCCGCCTGGGCCGCGTCCCGGCCCAAGCCGCCCCACCCAGCCGCCCCAGCCTCCCGAGCCGCCCCCCCCGCCCCTCACGCACGCCGCACGCGCGCTGACCGCGCGTCCCGCGTGGGCCCCACCACCCGGGTCGTCGTCCTCCTCCCGCACAGCTCCTCTCTCTCTCCCGTGAACCCTAGTTTCTTGCTCCCTCTAATCCGCGCAAATCAAACCATGGATTCCAAAATTAATTGGGGGGAATTAATTCCCATTCCTTCCTCTTCAATTCCCCCTAATTTCCCCCTTGATTCGTGCCCCCAATCGTCAAGAACACCCGCGCCAACCCCGGCCACCTTCCATGGCCGCCGGCCACGAATTCCGCCGCCGTTCCCCGCCTCTCCCGTGGCCGGCTCCCTCTCCTCCCCTATAAAATGGAACCCCCTCGATCCGTTCTCCAGTTTTAGCCCCCTCCCGCGCTCTCCCGTGGCCGCCCCGCCTCTCCCCGCCATCCTCCTCTCTCTCCCGTGCTGCCGGCCGCCTCCAGCCGCCTCTCCCTCCTCGCCGGAGCGCCGTTCGGCTGCGCCGTCGCCACCCTCGGACTCGCAGCCGCCTCCTCTCCCCCGGGCCGTCCTCCGTTTAGCGCGGAGAGAACCGGACGCGCGTTCCCGCCGGCGTCTAGTGGCGTCGTCGCCACTACACCGTCTCCGGCCGGCTGCTGTTCGTCGCCGGTACGCCAACCGACATCGCCGTCTCCTCCATCGACGTCGCAGCGTCGTCCTCTCCTCCGGCTGCTCCTCGGTTTTGCCGGAACACCGCAGCCGCCGCGCCGGCCTCTCCTTCCTCCTCGTCGACGTCGCCTTCGGCAGCCCCTTCCGCCGTGCCCGTGCGCCGGCCGACGTTGCCATCTCCACCTCCGGCATCGCAACGGCGAGCCAGCGACGTCGTCCTCGGCATCGCCTCCTCTCCATCCTCGTCGTCGCCGACGTCCCTTCGGTCGGCCGCTCCTCCTCGCCGGCTCATCGTCTCGCGGCCGCCTCCGTCGTCGGATTCGCAGCGGCGTGTCCCACGCCGGCCTCACCTCTGTGCAGCTGCTGCCGGCTGCCCTCGTCGCCTCCTCGCAGGCCCCGGTCGTCGTCGTCGTCGTCCTCCCGTCGTTCCCGATCGTCGTGGCGTTCGTCCCTCCGTCAAGCCGATCGCGTTCGCCGCCCGTGGTTTGTCAAGCGAGCCGCTGCAGCCCCGTCGTCGTCTTCGTCCTCGGCTCCATGTCGTCAAGTCTCGTGTCGGCCGTGTCACGCCTTCGTCCAATGATCGCCGCCGAAGCCGTCCCCTCGCCGTTCGTCTCCGTTGTGCCCGTCCGTCTCCGCCGCGCCCGTTCGTCATCGTCGTTCTCTCGTCTCGTCGCGTGGTGGTAAGGATCCGTCCTCTCGCTGCCCCGTCCTAGTCCTTTCGGTGTCGCCCGTGCCCATTGTGCGGTTGTCGACCCCGGTACCCGTGTACTGGTGTCGGTAGTCGTTCGTGTGTGCGTGGTGACCGTGTTGGTGTGCCCGCTCGGTAGTCGCGTGGTTTCCACGTGTGTAGCCCGCGTGGTGTCTAGTGGAGTCCGTTTGTCGGCCACTCGCCTCGGTTGACACACGGGGTTCGCTTCCGTCGACCTGTGGACCGTCTCTGTGTACTCGGTCTACCGTGGTCCCTTAGGTTGACATGTGGGGTCCGCATGTCAACAGCGCAATCTTCCTGTCTTTTCCAGGCTAGCGCTTACACATATTTTATAATTGCAAAACCTAATCACAATAATCCATAAATCTCCATGTAACAACATTAAACTTCGGATGATCATATCTTGGTCATACGAACCCCGAATCGACCTGTTCAAGTCTCCTAATGTTTGTTATAACCTAAAGAACCGTGTGCTTTCTTTTTATATATTGTTATTGCTTCTTTATAGGCTTGTAGCTTTGCTTGTGTGCTTCGCGTAGCTTCTGTCGTTCCGAAGGTTCTCGAAGCGTGGTTTGCGGTCGTCGCCGAAGGTTCGGAAGGCCGTTCTCTCTGAGCAAGGCAAATCACATCACCCTTGAGCATATTGAATCCCAGTTTATAAAATTATTTTGATTTAAATTATTGCATTACCGCTTTATTTAAATTCCCGCGTTATCACTGTTTTATTCAGCACTTCCTATTAATCCTTGTTATAGCCTTATCATTGCTATTGTTTATTATTACCTTGTTCACCCTAGGATAAACAAAACCCCAAATAGTGGGTACTCTATTAATGGTTCTACTAGTATGAATTTAGGTAGATGCTTCGCTAACTAATTAGGCAACATTAGGTGGTTTTATAACTTTAGACTTTGGGAATTCTCATATCATTTGGACACTGTGGAATGGTTGACTTGTGATGGAATTGAACACACACCTCCCCCCTCTATTCAAAACTCCCAAAATGGTTTTAGGCTGGGCTCGAGGTGCAGGGTTTTGCTAGTAGCACCTCGGCCACTATAAGGACCGGTCTTCGGGCCTCTGTTGCAAAGCACTACCGTACTAACCACATGTCTAATGGGTAAGGCTTAACTCGGTGCTCAGTCTAGTCCTGAATAAAAGGACACGGATAGAGATGGATGAAGTCGTTGCGACGATGGATATCTCTGAGGCAAATGAAGGCTACACGAGCTGCGGCTCGGTAATCGAGATGTCTAGGCAAATGAAGACTACACGGGTCGGTGCCCGTTAGTCGAGATGCCATGGCACTGGACTAGTACGCGGGTGGTCTCACCCCTATGCGTGTGGCGCACCCGGTCTAGATCCTGTTGCTAGGGGCTTAATCCTGGCCTGCCTGTCCCGGGATACCGGCCGTAGGCAGGGTTGGGTCGGTACTTTTGTTCACGGCTAGGATGGGTGAAGGGTTATGTCACATGTTTACGACGGGTTCCAAGGCCATGGAATGCGGAGTAAAGATGTGTCTTGTGGGTAAAGATGTACACTTCTGATCAGAGTAAATCTATTCAAATAGCCGTGCCCTCGGATATGGGCAAGCCTAGCAATGTACCCAAGTTAGTGGTTTAATTCTTAAAATTTGCTTAACAACTAAAATGTGGAAAGGTTGGCCTGGGTTGGCTTGGGACGAGCTGGGACCCAGGTTGGGTTGCCAGTTCGGTCTGAATCATCGTAGGCCTTGGGTTAAGGCAGGTTCGTGTGGGTCCACAGCCTTGATTAATAATACTATGTAGCTCTAGGATCGTCTTTATAAAATAGCTTTGGGCAACTAAGTGACTTTTAAATGCTGTTTACTGCAAAACTTAACCCCTATATTATTACCCCTTGTACTCCCTTGCATTAATCATGCATCTCCCGGTGTGACTTGCTGAGTACGGTGGTTGTACTCATTCTTACTCTATCTCTCCCCCCTTCAGTAAGAGAAGCTTTGGAGAAGAAGTCCTAGGTGGAGTCCTGGCTTATACCCTAGTTGAGCGCCTGTGAAGATGGAGCCGTATGCCCGCTAGTCCGCTACTGTTTATTTTTGTCTGTCAGGCCTGAAGTGCCTTTGTAATAATGTAAATATTATCGATATAATAAAGATGTGCCTTTTGTATTATGTTTGTATGGTGTACCCCGGCTTTTCCTGGGACGGGGATTAATACACTAGCGTTCGGGAAAATGCAAATTTTCTCGGTCGCGACATCACGAAAATCTCGACTAAACTCGAAACCCTAACTCAACTCTCAACTCAATGCTCTCAAAAGCGATACCGAGAGGCCACACATTCCCTCTCTATTTATACATGAGGTAGGCAGCCTAGAGCCAAGAACCAAACTCGTACAAGAAGTCCTAATCCACCTAGGAAACCTTCCCGTACAAGAAATCAACTTTACAAACTCCAATTATACCAAATTTGGACTCCTTCCAAATTCGACTCCGCATCCCATACGCACACAATATCTTCATCGTATGCCACCAACCACATGCATTGATCTTTAGCCTAAGTATCCCGCATGATATCTGACCATCTGGACATCACCTTATCTCCAAGTTGACTCCCGATCCATCACCGGCAATACTCTCCCGAGGCATCAAGACACCTACACATGAATCAAACAAAGAAACCATATTTCGAGACCAAGCCATCTCCAACTTGACTCACTATTAGGAAACAACAGTATTACATACGCATAGTATCCATCTAGAAGCCATAAACACGAAACAATCCACGGATATCCAATGAAACAACCCGAAACTAAAACCGACACAGAGTCGGCCGGTCAGACCACGGGCTGGTTGGTATGACCGCTCGATACACACCGGTCTGTCCGGCAACCCTTGCCTGGTCTGACCGGTCCAAAACTCCAGCAACAGTTCCTGTTCACCTGCAAATCCAATCATCTCCTTAATCACTTCGCCAATAATCTTCTAATATTAAAATGAATAATCTCAGATACTAATTGTTCATCATAGAATAAAAATCAAATAGACATTGATTTTTTATAGATTAGAATCAATCAATCAATCTAAGATAATCAAAGGAAGAGCAAAACTAAGTCGCTCGCATAATCGAGGTAGTAGTGATAGAGGAATAGAGGATGGGGACGAGTGACGATACGAATGAAGTAGTAGCTGGGGCTTGAAAGAGCTTGTCGTCGACGCTGTCTATCTTTGTAGCGAATCAAGGCCGTTGGTAGAACAGGTCTCCAGGCTGAAGTGAACTCATTCCCGTGCAAACTGCAGGTTCAACTTCCCCATGCCGCTGCCCCTGATGAGCATGTCCTTGAACACGTAGTCGTACTCCTCCCTGTACCCCATCCCCGCCGCTAGGCATAGGAAGGAGAGGGAGGCGGCGGCGCTAATGGGGAGGAGGTGGGTGGGAAAGAGGAAAAAGAGGCGGGAGGGAGGGGGGTGGCGTGGCACACTGGCACGTGGGACGTGGTGGGAGCCGGAAGCGTCGTGAAGGTGGCTAGCAGGCTCCGTCGGACACGAGAGAATTGGATTCATTTTTGCTATAAAATACATGTATCCATAAATTCTCTCCCCCCAGTTTCATCAAATATAAATACAGTATAGTTGTAGTCTAACTAATTACTACATTGTAACTTCCCATAACTTTGAACCGTTAGATTTGTTTTAAAATTCATACAAAACAGGAAGGGAAAAATATTAGTGTGCGTACCAGTGAGGGGATTTCATCATGAGACATCCCCGTTTTTATGGAAATAACGTGTTACCATAGAATTTTTTTAAAGTTACATACAGGTTGTATTAAAGGTTATATCAAGTTATAAATAATGTGTTAGCACATCGCTCAGTACCAAACTCATCAAACTCACCACCGTCGCTTCCATCTCTCTCTGTCTCTCTTCTTTTTGACCTCTTCTCTCTTATCTTCTCTTCTTTCTCCCTTGTGCATGCGGAGAATTTAGATTATTTACCACCTAATTTGCGTGCCTCAACTTTTTTACCACCCAATTCACGTGCCCTCTATAATATGTCATTAGGACTGCTAATTGCTATACTTGGTACCACTTTCTCAATTTTTCATTTATTTCTCATTTCTTAATCCCATTTGTATTTTTTCTCAAACTTTGTGGACTGTTTTGCCCCTGGGCCCACTGTCAGATGAAAGGAAGAGAAATCCTCTTCTCTGGATCGATCGATCTCTCGCTGTAGCACTAGCCCGAGCGCGACGAGCTCCTCCGCCGCCGAGCACCTCCGCCGCCGGGCGTCCCCACCTCCGCCGTCGGGCGCCCCCACCACGCCGCCGAGCGCCGCCACCCCGCCGCCGACCACCGCACCCTAGCGCCGCCCCCAGGCCTAGCGCCGCTGTGCGCCCCACGGCCGAGCGCCTCCCCCGTGCAGCCTAGGGTTTGAAGGGAGAGAAGGAGAGGTGGCTATGGCGGCTCCCGTGGAGAGTACTGTGCAAGCAGCGAGGTCATCCGTCGTTCCCAATGAAGTATCTACTGGGTAAGGCCATAGACCCATCATCTTCTATTTCTGTTCAACAGGAGGATCAATAACCTAGGTGATAACCGATTTAGTATTAAAACTAATGGATCTATCTCTCATTTTTTGTGTTCATATACGATAGGATCGATCCTGATGCAGAGTTTAGGGTGTGTGTTCAATTCAGTCAGTACATTGCTAAGCTTGATGATGGTAGTTTTGTTCATGTACCCCGCAAATATGAGGAATGGGTTGTGGACTATCGTGAATGCACATTAGAGAGATTGGTAAAGGACTTTGCAGCCAAGATAAATTGGGGTAGGTGCCAGCAGGTGGTTGTGTGTGGATATGACACGGGCACTGGTGAGGAAACAAAGTTTACTGACAATATGGATCTAGTGCATGCATTTTTTGTTAGGAAGAGTGAGAGGAGGTTGGTTTTATTTGTGGATGTGGTGGATAAACCTGTTCAGCTTGTTACTAGCTCTTCTGTTTCAGAGATTAATGGGACAGTCATGGATGAGGTTGTTACAGCTAGGCATGCTGATGCTACAGATTGTAACAGTCAACATGCCATTGATTGGGAGAGTTTGGAGATAGCTCCAATTCCAACAGAGCAGGTTCAACAGCATGTCATTGATTGGGATGGAGTGGAGATAACTCCAATTGCAGAGACACAGATAGGGTCATCAATGCCTGTGATGGACGAAGATGAAATGTATGCATTTGTTGGTCTTAGAGCTGAGGATGAGAGAGCAGAACAAGCTAGACTTGAAGCTGAAAAACAATTGGACTCGGCACCTAGTCCGGCTGCAGGTCATGCCCAAGGGAACTTAGACAATGAGGCTGACATAGGTGTTAGTGATGTGGTTCCGGGTGAATCTGAAGTTTTCTATGACAGGAATGACCCTCCAATGATTACAGGAAGTTCATATCTAAGTATGGTTGAGTTTAGATCAGCTGTGCGGCAACACGCTATAAAGGGTCAGTTTGAGCTTGGGACAGAGTCGAGTGATAAAGAAAGGTTCAGAGGCTTTTGCAAGGCTGAGGGATGTCCATGGGCTATTGTAGCAAGGTTGATGCCGGATGAAAAATCTGTTAGGGTACTAACAACTAACTTAGATTTGTATCGGCCTTTAAATTCTTGTTTGTTTTTAATAATTGTAGCATGGTACTAAGTAATCCAACTTTTATTGCAGGTTACTTTGAATAAATTTCCCCATCATTGTTCATAAACTGGCAGAGTAAAGACCAAGATGGCAACATATAAGTGGGTGGCAGAGAAGGCAATTCCTTTTTTGAAGAAGGATTCAAATATGGGTCTGACGAAGTTGAAAGAGGAGTTAGAGACCACATACAACGTCACAATAGGATACCATACAGTGTGCCAAGGTAGGCAGAAGGCTTTAGAAAAGATTTTTGGGTCATGGGATGAGAGCTTCACATATTTGTTCAACTTCAAGGCTGAGGTTGAGCTGAAAATGCCTGGAAGTGTTGTGGAGATAGATGTACTGGAGAATGAAGATGGGGTTTATTTTCATCAGTTTTTCTGTGCATTCAAACCTTGCATTGATGGTTTCATAAATGGATGTCGACCATATTTGAGCATAGACTCAATAGCACTTAATGGAGCTTGGAATGGTCATTTAGCTTCTGCTACATCCATAGATGGGCACAACTGGATGTTTCCGGTTGCATTTGGATTCTTTCAAAGTGAGACCACTGATAATTGGACTTGGTTTATGCAGCAGCTTCATAAGGCAATAGGGGATCAATCACCCCTAGCAATTAGCTCAGATGCTTGTAAGGGGCTAGAGAATGCCGTGAAATATGTTTTCTCTGCAGCTGAGCATAGGGAATGATTTTGGCACTTGATGCAGAATTTCATAAAGAAATTTCATGGTCCAGTCTTTGGAAACATGTACCATGCAGCTAGGTCTTTCATGCCAGATAGGTATGACTATTACATGAATAAAATTCATGAGGCAAATTCAGATGTGAAGCCATACTTGGAAATATATCATAAACTGCTTTGGATGAGGAGCAAATTCTCAGAAGGCATAAAATGTGACTTCGTCACCAATAACCTAGCAGAGTCGTGGAACAAATGGATTAAGGAAAAGAAAGATCTTCCAATTGTAGAGCTTGCAGATGGCATCAGATCGAAGACAATGGATCTATTGGCCAGTAGGAGGAGGATAGGTAATAAATTGGATGGTGTGATGCTCCCTGTTGTAATTCAGCAACTGAATACGATGACTAGAACTTTGGGCCACTTGAGGGTAGTTCAAGGTAATAGAGACCAGGCAAAGGTGACTGAGATCACTCCTGAACATGACATTATTAGGCATGCAGTCAATCTCACAGAACATACATGCACCTTTAGAGAGTGGCAAGTTTCTGGGAAACCATGCCCACATGCATTAGCTCTCATTATATCACATAGAAATCCTAGAATGGCTGATTATTTGGATCCCTTCTATTCAGTGGAAAAGTTTAAGCTTGCATATGCAGACGTTATTCAACCATTTCTAGATAAGTCTCAATGGCCCAAGGTTAATATTGGTTTCAAGTTGTTGCCACCTTTGACTAAAAAAGGAGTAGGGAGGCAAAGGAAGAATAGAATAGTTGTGTGCCTTGAGAAAGGACAAAGCAAGCCTAGGACCAAAGGCAAGTGGCAGGTTCAGTGTAAGAGGTGTCTTGCCATGGGACATAGGCCATCATCCTCAAAATGTCCTTTAAATGGTACCAAGAAAAAAAGGTAAAACCATACATTTACTTATTTTTGCATATTGTATATCTATTTACTTGTTTTACATTTTCAGGAAGAGTCGTGCGAAACAAGGAAGGCCAGTAGGCTCAACTAGTGGTGCAGCAGGCCCTAGCACACCAAAACGACAAAAAGTCGTAAGAAGTGATTCCACTTGCACTAGTCCTGGTCCTATCACTAGAAGGTACATATTTTTTTCTATTTCAATGGTATTTTTAATCATGTATTTAATTTTACTAACACTCATTTTCTTCTAGGCAAATGGCATTGATCAATGCTGGTGAACAAGGATCAAGTCAAATGGCAACCCCTCTAAGGCCTCCAAGAGCTGCAAAGAAGATCACTCCAAAGAAAGGGAAAAAATAAGTGATTCTAAGTAGTATTTTCATTTGTGGACGATTTTCTAGTGGCAAACATAGGCTTTATTTTGCAATATGAACCTGTGTGACTTGGTTATGTAACCTCTTATATTTGGTTATGTAATCTGGATGGAATTCTCAAATTTGGTTATTTAGACTTGTTTGGCTTCTTGTACGAACAACGTATTATGGCTACATGCTGCCAAAATTTAAGTGACATTTTTTAGTATGTGCTGTGAATTTGACATTTTTGAGTATGTGCTGTGAAAATTTGACATTTTTGAGATGTGCTGTAAAAATTTGACATTTTTGGGTACATGCTGTCAAAATTTGATATTTTTGGGTATATGCTGTCAAAATTTGACATTTTTGGGTATATGCTGCCAAGTGACATCTCTCCCATTGTCTGCTTGAAAATAACAAGTTTACATTGCAACGTTGCACAAATCTGTAGGCATTTCTCACATGAGCATATGGTCTCACAAAGCTGTAGGCATATGCTGAGGTAGTTAACTGACAGGTATTTTATATCATCACAAAATGAACATATGATCAACTATCCATCTTCCTTTCTTCAGATTACATAACCCAAACAGGAACAAGTGCAAACTGAAGCTGTCTGTATTGTGCTGCTGAAAGCCTGAAACTGAACCAATTTCCAGCTGCCACCTAGTATATCTTCTATCACATCACATGGAAAATTGTTGCCAATTTCAGATATGTACACTCCCATAAACAACCAAATATGTCTATGTATATAGTATACACAATACATTAACTAATACATCCAAATATGAACTAGTACTGCCCTAGCTCTGTGTCCTGTAAATACAAGGTCCCAGGGACCAGGGATCGGCTATGGCAGCAACTGGGGACGATACAAGGTCCCAGGGGCCTGCTAGGGCAGCTGGGGACGGTGGGGTGTCCGTTCTGGGCCCCCAATGGCGGCGACGGCGCACGGCAGCGGAATGGTGGCGCAGCTTGGCGCAGGGTGTTGGGGGCGGTGGCGTCGACTGCCGGCGTCGGCGCTTGGTGGCAGCGCCTGGCTGCGGGGGCGTCGAGTGCCGGCGGCGGCGCTTGGTGGCGGCGCCCGGCGGCGGGGTTGGCAGCGCCCGGCGGCGAACGGTGGCGACGAGGTTGGCGCTCACGGCCAAGCCGAACGAAGACAGAGACGAGACTGGAGGGATCTCGATCCAGAGAAAAGGATTTCTCTTCCTTTCATCTGACAGTGGGCCCAGGGGCAAAACAGTCCACAAAGTTTGAGAAAAAATACAAATGGGATTAAGAAATGAGAAATAAATGAAAAACTGAGAAAGTGGTACCAAGTAGAGCAATTAGCATTCCTAATAACATATTATAGAGGGCACGCGAATTGGGTGGTAAAAAAGTTAAGGCACGCGAATTGAATGGTAAATAGTCTAAATTCTCTGTGCATGCGTGTGTTAATGGTGGAGAGGAGCTACTTTTCTTACTCCTGAGTCCATATTCGGCAAGATGATATTTATTTTGGGCTACCTAGGTGCTACATAACGGTTAGCACTTGGGTGTGGCTGGTGCTAGTGGTGGTGCTGGCTTTATCCGAATGAATTTGCGGTGAGTGACTACTCTATACATTAGCGCCACGTTGCAGACACCATCTTCATGCGTGAGCAGTCCAGGAAGCCGTCATTGTTGGTGTTACGGGAGGGATAACTAAAGTTGGAAGAGAAGGTCGGGAAGGATTAAAGAGTAGTTTGTTCTAGCATGTAGTAGCCATGGATTGATAGTGTCATTTTACGAAAAAAATTGTTTTGGTATTTAAGTGTAACCTACTTTTATCGATGGCATAGTTTCATTTTTTTTTCCAAGTGGAACATGTGGCGTCGATATGAGAAAATTAAGAATATGCCACTTTCTAGTTTAGCTTCAATGTAACGCCATCTACGATATAGTTGATAAAAATGTCGCTTATTATATTTTCAGCCTGATAATATGCTATTTTGGGGTTTAGATCATTTTTTTTCTCTCTATTTTCTCCTTCACACAATTTCCACGCAAAAGGACCTAATTGGCCTTGCCCCTTCAGGTCGTCCAAAGCAGGCCAGCTAGCCGCGAGAATTTTCAGTATTTACCATCCAATTCGCATGTATTTTAGGATTTATCATCCAATTCGCAACACTTTTAGAATTTGCCACTGGGAGTATGAAATTCTTTATTCCTTGCCACTCCCGTCAGCCCGTCCCTTTCATCCCTAATGCCGTGTTGGTTCGTCTTCTTCCAGACGCACCTCCTTGCACTCGTTGGCGGCGCCGGTGAGGGCCGCCTCCGCATCTTATCGGCCGCCGAAAGGAAAGGAAACGGACTCGCCTTGCAGCAAGAATCTTTTTGCTCGTTTTTGCTTCAAGAATGGCGGAATAGTGGCTCTTGCGGAGCCAAATCTCGACAGAGCCGAGGAGAGGAGAGCCTCACGGATGGGGACTAGAAGTGCACGTGAGTCGATCTCGACGGCAAAGGTGAGCAGCAGCCGGTGGCTAGCGGACGCCCCTCTCCCGGGCGTGGCGATGATGGGTTTCTTGACAACGGTCAGCTTGGCCTCCGTGCAAGCGAGGGCTCGGCGATGGTAACAGTGATGGAAGGAGACTACGCACATCGGATGGGAGTGGCACGGAATGAAGAATTTTGCACTCCCGGTGGTAAAATCTGAAAGTGTTGCGAATTGGATGGCAAATCCTAAAATAAGTGTGAACTGGATGGCAAATACTGAAAATTTTCGCTAGCCGCCGTTGCTAGTGAGAAGCATACAAAGGCTATCACCATTTCAACGCTGCTGAATTATACTCACTTTGGTGGGACCGTCCGATTTCTTCCTCAGGCTTGGGATGCCCGAGAAGAATGCATTCCCAGATTTCCCCTATGGTCTTCCAAACGCTCAGGTAATCTTGGCCCACGGAATTTTCCCCTAAGGACCAGGATCCCATGAAAAACTAGATGAATACCCCGCCGTGTTGCTGTGGAAAATTAAGTTGCATAATATGTACAAATAAGATGTAATATGATTATCAAAACTAAAACAAATTGATAGTACAATTTGAGCCTAAAAATAATTGAGATTGCATGGGTTTATGAGAGAATAAAGAAGAGACAATTTGAACCATAGATCTATCATCCAAAGGCTAGAAATAATTAGGGTGGTGTGGCTTAATAAGAGAAGAGAGAAATAGTATTAACTACACTTAGTCGGGATGAACTATATAAGTATATTATTATAGATCGCGGTTTTTTTTGGCAAGGGGATGACCATAAGAAAAAATACAGGCTCACTAGGTGGGATGTTGTTTGTCAACCCAAGGACCAGGGGGTCTTGGGATTCATAATTTGGAGATACAAAATAAATGTCTTTTAAGTAAATGGTTGTTTAAGTTAATTAATGAGGATGGGGTTTGGCATGATTTATTGAAGAGGAAATATCTTTATAATAAATCTATAACCCAAGTTGACAGGAAACAAGGTGATTCCCATTTTTGGTCTGGTCTTATGAATGTCAAAAGTAATTTCTTAAATATGGGTTCTTGGATTGTTAATAATGGGGAACAAATCAGATTTTGGGAAGATAGATGGATTGGTAACTTGGCTTTTAAGGATAAATATCCATCTTTGTACGCAATTGTTCGGAGGAAAACATCTTCTATTGCCACTGTTATGGGATATGTTCCGCTTAATGTTTCTTTCAGGAGAGCTTTAGTTGGTCAGAATCTTGTTTGTTGGCATCAGTTGTGTGCCTCTATAGTATATATTCAGTTGAATGATTTGTCTGATAGTTTTAGATGGAATTTCCATCAGAATGGCTTGTTCTCGGTGAGGTCTATGTACCTAGCTTTAATTAATAATGGCTATATCGAGAAAAACAAGTGTATTTGGAAGCTTAAGTTGCCACTTAAGATTAAAATTTTCATGTGGTACCTGCTTAAAGGGGTTGTGTTAACTAAGGATAATTTGGCAAGGCGTAACTAGAATGGCAGCTTGAGGTGTTCTTTTTGTTTGAATAATGAGTCTATTCAACATCTCTTTATGGATTGTCATTTTACGAAATTTCTATGGAGAGCAGTTCAGTTCTCTTTTGGTTTTAATCTTCCAGTTAGCATATCTCATATTTTTAATGGGTGGCTTTTAGGAGTTGATAAGAAAATGAGTAAACTGATACTTGTTGGAGCTTCTGCCATTTGTTGGGCAATATGGCTGAGTAGAAACGATATGGTTTTTGACAAATCACCATCATTTTCCTATATGCAGGTTATTTTCAGGGCAACTCATTGGCTCCGGTTTTGGGCACAACTACAAAGGTGTGATGAAGATGAAGATTTTCTGAAGGTTGCATGCCGAAAGTTGGAGACCACGGTTATGCAACTATTTGCTAATTATGGTTGGAGATTTACAAATAGACTTCAATAATTGTGATCTCCTTACGTTAGGCTGGTTTCAATAATAGTGATGTTTGGTGTGTTCTATTCATTTAGATTTACACTATGTTCATGAAAACTACTATGTAATAATTGGCTGTAGCTCTTTTGAGTAAAGGCCGAGATATTATATTTCATTATCTAAAAAAAACTATATAAGTATATAGGATGTGTACTCACTCCCATTTAAATTATAAATCGTTCTGACTTTGATCAAAATTAACTAATTCATGTTTGATTAAGTTTATAGATAAATGTAATAATATTTATAACACCAAATTAGTTTTATTAAATTATAATTAAATATATTTTCATAATATATTTATGTTGAGTTGTAGATATTACTTTCTTATATATAATCTGAAACAGAGTAGTACAAATCACATATGTAATGAAAATCTGAAAAATATCAATGGATCCAGAAATAGACGCCTAAGTTACTTTTGGTGATGTGGAAAAAAATCTCAAACATCCATTTTTTATCTAATAATGATAATTTTTAAGTTTCCACTATTGTACTATATATTTTCCGGGATCCTAAGCTGTCCAGTAAGCACCAATAAGCTGTCCAGTAAGCACCAATAATCTCATAGATTCAGGGTTGAGCTAAAGGATGAAATCGTTCGGATAGTTTCTTATATCCAGATGTATTTTGTTGGAATAGATAATTTTTTCATACTACCAGATACGAAAATGAAGACAGGAAGACGTATGGTGGAAATCAGAAGTCATCCAAAACTATCTGAAGTTTTTTTTTTTCGGATATCCGCATGTAGAGTTCAATGTTTAGAAAAACACGTATTTATATGTAATTTTATTATATCAAGTTGGATGGAAACAAACTTTATATAAAAATCATAGAGCTCGACGAGATATCCAATGAAAACTTTATCATTTGAGATCATTTTTCGTTCTAAATAATATTTATTACAAAATTTCATATATCCTTTTACAAAATCTCACCTATGATTGAAACGACCTCTGATGAAAACGTGCTCTACATTAGCTCGACGGGATATACTATTGTAGTTTATAAACTTTTTATTTTACTAGAAAAAAATAACCGTGCATTGTAACGGATACAGGCTATTTTAATCTTATTATTGTTCACTGTGAGAATTTTCTTAGATATATATATATTTTTCTAGAAAATCATGTCAAGTTAGCATACAAATCTTTTTTAAAGAGATTTCTTATACAACTCCTTTTATATTTCTAAAAGCGAACGAACTTTAAACCCGACTCAAATATGGATATGTATTTCCAAAAAATGAACGAACTTGAAAGCAGATTCATACGCGGATGACGTACGTACCAAAGTACCTGCAAAAATATCTTCAATTTTTATAATAGTAGATAAATTATTTGAAGTGCAGAACCAATATAAGTTTTGAAGAGGTAAAATAAAATGAATAGCATCCTTAATCTAGACAATATACGCTTGATAGATGAGATGGTAGGTAAGTCTGTACAGAGAAATCGGTCTTGGGTTCAATTAAGGGACAAAAAGTGAAAAATCACTTTCACATACGGGTCTCTTAAGAACTAACTATGAAAAATCGATTTTCATAGGCGGTTATAACGCACAAATGAAAATTGATGATATAAAAATTAGGATTTTTTTACCTACTTTTTAGAAAAACAACAAGCCATATCTTTTCGTTGATTTGGAAAGCTCAAATTCAGTTTTTTTTTAAACATTCCGGCAAATATTAGTACCGTATTTATTTGTTCCATTTGTAGTCACTCCGTATTTGTATTTAATAATATTCTATTATTCTTTTCGCTAATAATATTTGATTCAAGGGATTTTTTTATTCCAATTCCAATTCCAAAAATACGAAAACGAATATAATGATATTCTATTATTCTTTTTCGCTCCATATCTGTATTCAATAATATTTGATTCAACTGGGAATTTTTAATTCAATTCTGTTTCCAAAAATATGAAAATGAATATAATACAGCTAGAGCTAATTTCCATCCAATTTCAATCCGTTTTCATCCGTAGATTGAGCGGGCCGGGTAAATAACTTGGTACATCAACTAACCTATGCTACTTACTTTGATTGCACTCGCTAGTCTGGCGAGCCATATGAAAAATACATAAAATACGAAAGAGCAAAAATCGCTCACATCATCCAAAAAACATCTTGGTCTGACAAGGATGCGATCGGGTAACCTTCCGCCGATGTCCATCATCCAGTAGAACCACCCGGATGGCTCCACTTCCTGGCCCTCCTTTCCACACACGAATTCCTCCTCGCTGGGGTGCAAAACCTCGTAATGCCGGTCGCTGCAAAACGCACAACTGCTTCTGTACTGGACCAGCGGCGCCTCTTGAACCGTTTCTGTTCTCCCTGGCTCTTCTGTTATCGACAGTTCCCTTTTAGTGGTGTGGTGTACTGGCTCTTGAAGACCTTCTATTCTCCTGACGACGAACAGTGGTTCCTCTGTCATCAACAGTTCAATAGAATGATCAGGCACATGCATGCGTGTATATATGGAAGAAGCTACTCCCTCCGTCCCAATATAAGTGCAACCTGGTTACGTTTATATTGGGATGAAGGGATTACTGAAATTGCACTGGTTTAGTTCGACAAAAAAAGGAGATAAGCTTAGATTTGCAAAAAAGTAAACACCGATCCAGTTCAAGAAGGCGGCAGTAAACATAGCAAAAGTGGTGTTCTAGAGTCAATACGTCCTTTCTCAGCAATTAGATAGGTATATGCAGTCTAAAAAAGGACAATGAGGATTGATCTCCAGCCAATCCTACACAATGGGGCACGGAGAAATATCAATCAAGGGAGTCCAGAAAGGACTCCCTCCTTTCTTCAAAAAGAACAAAGGACTCCCTCCATCCTAACACAAATGAAGTTATATTATGTGTGCAATTAAGCCTCAGTACAATGTTATATATTCTAAAAACATAAAGATTTCATTCATGAGAAAGAAGTCATTTTTAATATTTTTATGACAATATGATTAGAAAATAATAATCAAACATGTACATGCATTGGAGTTTGTATTGATGTCCTAAACAAGTACTCCCTCCAGTCAAATATATTCGACGTTGGGACAGAAAACTAAACTCATATACTTGATGGAGGTGGTAAAAAAGAATGTACTGGGTAGCCTGTTTGAAAGTGTGTCAACTGATTGAACTAGGGGGCATGCGGTTACACAACTTGAACAAACATGGGATAGCTTTAAATACTCTGTTGGCTGTGGCTCCAAAATTAAATGACATGGCTAGAAGTGATGATACAATGGCTCATCAGGTTATTCCTTCTAGGGTTGATAAAAATAATTTGGTGTTTTGGTCTCATCAAGGCAAAACTAGGGAAGAGCTAGGAAGCATGCCAGCGGCAATCAGATTCAGTGTAAAAGCTTAGGGGGCTTCAGGCTTTGTTGCTTGTTGTAATCTCCTTACTGTAATTAACACACATTAATGTAATCCCAAAACCACACCTTGCCATGATTTCTGCAGGTTGAGTTCTATCCTAACAACGAAACATGCATATGCATGCTTTGATGCGCATCAAAGAAAAAGAAATCGTGACAAAACATTTTCTGCAGGATTTTTTCTCCTAGCATGTTTCATTCGGTCTTGTTAGCATCATGGTTTTAACTAGGCTTAGCGTAAATAAAGAGATAAACAAGCATATTAATTAGGGTGTGTTTAGTTCACGCCAAAATTGAAAGATTGATTAAAATTGGAACGATGTGATGGAAAAGTTGGAAGTTTGTCTATGTAGGAAAGTTTTGATGTGATGGAAAAATTGGAAGTTTGAAGAAAAAAGTTAGGAACTAAATCAGGCCTTACATACCCCGTAATACGATGCATGATACGACAACGGGTGTTTCAACGAGAGGGCCATAGTAGAATAGCTCAGCGAAGAAGCGAAGTACGGGGGCATCAATACAACCCCTCCTGCGAGCCAGGAAGTTGACGTGGGACCAAATTTCACCTCTGAAAGAAGCAAAATGAGCACTCAGGGACCTGACACAATCGAACTCAGCACCCTGAAAAATATGCACGGAAAAAAATCGAGCTCAAATAATTAAAATCCCTTCGAAATAAAGAGAATCATGTGTGCAGAAAAAATAAAATTATATTCCCTCCATTGAAAGATAAATATTGATATGTTACAATGTGTGTGGTTCATCATTTTGTTATATAAGTACATACTTTGATACACGAAAAAAATATCATAAATAACACTTTCACACTGTTGCACTTTTTTCCAAAAATACGATGCGACAATTTTAGTAGCCATATAATCATACTTGTAGCTTAGAATGATAAATAAGTCACAAGGGGTATAGAGGAGCAACACAAATAATTTAACATACCGGATGATTGCAGTTGTAATAATAGAGGGCGATGCGGACATTTGGCCGAGCATCATTTGCACCATCCTCTCTGCATGTAATCTATGTATGTCAGATCGAGCAGCATGCAATAGAAACCATGTACATAGATACAACTACTTGTTTGTGTTAACCCATGCATATTCACACAGCCATGCTTAAATAAAATTTATTAGAAAAAAAAATATATATACTATTATAATTAATTTTTTATGTTTTATTAGGAATGTAAAATTTGGTATAAAAAAATTCTATATGCCTTGTTTTTAAAAATCACTAAGCAATGATCTATTACAGCACACCAACAGACAATGATTAGCTGCAAAGAAATGACAAATTCGGGTCAAACACACCCCAATAGATAGTCTGGGGTATATATATATATGCTGTTCCGCTCGTAACCTTGCAGATTTCACTTAACAAACAGATCTCACGAGATGGAAACCAAATCATGCAGATGTAGTAAATCTAATCCTCCCAGCATTAGATTATCAGAATAGTACAAGAAAGTTGAGCATTCGAGATCTTACTACTCTTTTTTAGATCATTAACATATAGTACTATTTTACAGTTGCCTATTTTTTTTCTCTCACAAACATGATAAATTTCTACTGATCTTTTAACATGGTTAATTAGGACGAACAGTGAAAAACTGCAAAGTGATGTGCAGTAGCGAATCAAAGGAGAAAGAGATTTAGGTTGTACCAACCCTGGGAGATATTCGAAACGGCGAGGGCCTTTGCGCTTTTCGTATTCGATCCAGCGTTGCACGATCCGTCGCCGCTCGTCGAGGGGCGGAGGCTGCTCGCCGTCGCCGCCGTCCCAGTGCAGCAACGCCGGCGGCCGGAGCAGGTTAACCTCGTGCTCCGCCTTCCGCTTCGTCTCCATCCGAAACTCCCTCGCATCGTGGTAGGCGAGGGCGAGGGAGCCCATCACAGATCCCATAATTAGCTGCCTAGCTAGCTTTTCGATGTCGATAATCCCACCACCGATTTGAGTCCCTCGCTGGCAATTGAATTAGGGCTTTTGATGGAGAGATTTATATGGATTATTGGCAGGAAGATTGTTCACGAACCGGATGGACCTCGTTGGGCCCGAGGAGTCCCAACTCCGCAATTCACCTTTCTGACTGATCCGCCAAGTTTCAACAAATTTCGGTTAAGTTTACTAGCTACTGATATGCCCGTACCAACGTTATGACGATATTTCTTAATAATAATAATAATATTAATAATAATAATAATAATAACTAATTAAAAAGATTCATATTTTCCCAATCGTCACATCTTTTCATGTGTTTTTTTTTTGTCCGTCGCTCTTTCTTTTTCACCGCATCCACGAAAAAACCCACACCTAATACTACTCCAGTTTGGTATATTAGACGCAACATAATTTGGTACGTAAATCCCAATTTGGTACGTAAATCCGATTGAGCGACCGACTCATCACGTAAAACGGAGAAAACACAAAATCAGATATTACAAATATGAGAGGTTTAGAACTACACAGACGGACTGAGAGATAGAAACCAAAACGGAAAAGAGAAAAGGGAGACGAATAGAAATCGCACAGATAAAAAAAAAACTCACATAAATCAAACACGAATTGCAGCCGGCAGAAGGAATAAGTAGGTCAGGACTCAGGAGGCTGTGACCTGTGTGAGCACGGTAAACATCGGCAGCGGTTGTACTGCTCATAATCTACACCCGCATCTCATGCCACTGGGCACAGTGGGACAATGGAGAGGAGGAGGGCGACCACCGGCGGCTCGGGCGTGGCCCAGTGCTCATGGGCCACGCCCTCATCGTACACCGCCAGCTTTGACCAGCACAGCGGCGCAACGACGAGGTGGAGAGGCTGCTGGGGACGGCTCGGCGCCGGGACCATCGGCGGCGATGGCGGCGCGGCATGAGGGGGAGGAGGAGGAGGAGGCGGCGGCCGTCGGTTTGGCGTAGTAGTGCTGAGGGAAGAGAGAAGTGGCAACCGATGGAGTGCGGCGCTACTGAGCCCGTGTGGGGGTTGGGACGGGGTGCGGCGTTGCCGCGTTGGTGCGTCCGTGCGGTTAGGGTTTTGGCGATGTGGGCCTGGTGGGCTGGGCTGTCCGGCTAATATTGGAGCTGCATGATGTTATTAGCTGATGGAAAAAGTACGCCTAAGGTCCCTCAACTTGTCATCGAGTTACAAAATCGTCCTCCAACCACAAAACCGGATACAACGCATCCCTCAACCTACAAAACCAGGACAAACTATATCCCTCGGCGGTTTTGACCCTAGTTTTGTCCCACGTGGCCGCTGAGTCATCGTGGGCCCCACATGTCAGGAGGCCACGTCGGCACCTCTTTCTTTCCCCTCTTCTCCCTTCCCCTCTCTTTCACTTTTCTCCTCTCGAGGAGCACGGCCGGCAGGGGGGAGCGTGACGGGCGGCAGTCGGCGGCTGGCGAGGGAGACTGCGCCCGGCGGCAGCCTAGAGGCGAACGCTGTGCCGCTCCACCGCGCCCCAGGGCCTCTCCACTTGCATCGCGGCCGCGACACGGGAGCAGGAGGGCGGCGGAGACGACGCGGGAGCTGGAGGGGGTCACCGGGGCCAGGAGGTCCAACGGCCGGCCGGCGATGCGGCGGCAGAGACACGGGAGAAGGGGAGGGCGGTGGCAGGGTGAGGCGTCATCAGCAGGCGAGCACGGTAGCGGAGAGGCAGCGGCGGCGGCAGGCGAGTGCGGCTGCGGATGGGGGAGCAGCGGCGCGGACTCCGCGCCGCTCGGCCTCATCGTCCACGCCGCTCGGCCTCATCGTCCGCTCGCTGGGAGGGAGGACCAAGGTGGGAGGACGTCGCCAGGCGGTGCAACGGCCGGATCAAGGTGGTGAGTGTCGATGACGATGAAGCGTGCGAGCTGGTGAGCGGCGCGGACCTCGTCATCGGTGGCGACGTCGACGACGAGGGCGAGGACGTCCGCGCGTACCTCCTCCGCCTCCCCCGCCGGCGAGCTCGTGCCGCCCTGAGCCCGCGCGCCGCCACTCGGGAGCCGCCGTCGCCGGCCGCACCACCCTCCGACCGCGCGCGCCGCCGCCTGTGAGAGTGTTTGACTTTGGATGTTGAGGTCGCCGTCGTTACTTTTGTGTTGCTTTGTTGTGACTGTAGTAAAACCTGCTGAAAAGGTGGTGTGTTATCATGGGTAGTAGCAGAAAGACTTGATATTTTGATAATTCGTGGATTAAAACGATCATTGAATTCATCTGCAATATAATGTATTCGAGCAAAAGAGAAGGGTAAGAATTTGTAACCATGCAAAATGAAATGGGATTTTTTCGCAGGCACAACGATCCTTTCGCTATGCTACTACTGATATGCTTTGACATTAACATCCAACAATCTAGTGAAGAAACAGAGATGAAGTCGCATTGTTTGGTTTGGTGCTAGCTCCACAGCTCCATTTTGTTAGAGATAAGTTTCATACATGAAATATTGTAACTATAGCTATGGATTGAGTTTGTTGTGTTAGTTAGTCTTGATAAGGTTTATCTCTGTAATCTAGAAATACACAACAAACTCAATACCGGTGCTATATATCTCCCTGTATTTCTGTCGCCCGGTTGTGTGGCAAATATCAACATGAATCCTCCTCACCAAAGGAGTTCCACTTGGTATCAGAGCTCCCCGCTAGATTAGATTAGTTCGTCTCTGCTTCCGGCAATGGCGAGCTCCTCCTCAGCGGCGGCGATCTCCAATTCATTGTTTGGGATTCAGATCTCAGAGAAACTCACCAAACAAAACCATTCCCTATATATGGTTTGCGCAGGTTCTCACCACCCTACGAGGGGCGCAGCTAGAGGGACACATCACCGGCGCGACTGCAGCTCCAGCGGCGGAGTGTGAGAAAGAAGACGGCGACAAGAAGATCAAGACCATCATCTCCAATCCGGAGTACAACAAGTGGTTCGCCCAGGACCAACAAGTTCTAGGGTTCCTCTTCTCCTCTCTATCACGGGAGGTTCTACAGCAAGTCGCCGGCGCAAAGACGGCGGCCCAAGCATGGGAGATGATCAACGACATGTTCTCGTGCAAGTCCAAGGCAGGCTCCATCAACGTCCTCCTCGCTCTAACGACGACTCAGAAGGGACCTATGTCCATCACTAAGTACATAGCCAAGATGAGATCTCTTGGCGACGAGATGGCGGCTGCAGGGAAGCCGCTTGACGATGAACTCATCGTGTACATCATCAACGGCCTCAACTGCGACTTTGATCCAACAGTAGAAGGACTAATGGCAACGACAAGAATTGCTCCTCTTTCTGTTTCTCATGTGTACTCTCAACTCTTAAGCTATGAAAACAGGATCCGGATCCGTCACGCATATCTCACCACCCCGGCGAACGCTGCAAACCGTGGCAGACGAGGTGGCCGTGGAGGAAACTCTCGCGGCGGCCGCAGTGGTGGCCGCGGCGGTACAGGCGCCCCCAATGCTAGACGGGGACGCAGCAATGACACACGCCCAGTGTGTCAAGTGTGTCACAAAAGAGGGCATGTTGCAAGTGACTGCTGGCATCGCTACGATGACAGCTATGTTCCTGAAGAAAGGTTTGGTGCTGCGGCGAACTACGCTTACGATGTTGACACAAATTGGTATGTCAACATCGGAGCAACAAATCACATCACAAGTCAGCTAGATAAGCTCACAACAAGGGAGAAGTACAAGGGAACAGATCAGATTCACACCGCCAGTGTTTGAGGTATGAATATTAAACATATTGGTCATGCTATTGTTCCTACTCTGAATCGTCCCTTGCATCTCAAAACTATACTCCATGTTCCCCAAGCATGAAAAAATTTAGTTTCTATTCATAGATTTGTTGCGGACAACTATGCTTTTCTTGAAATTCATGGCAAATATTTTCTTATTAAGGACAAGGCCACGAGGAGGACAATTCTTGAAGGACCATGCCGGCGAGGATTCTATCCCCTTCCTGCCGGCACACCCTTGAAACAAGCCTATGCAGTTGCGCCATCGTTTAAACGGTGGCATGGTCATCTTGGTCATCCATCCAAGCCAGTCGTCCTTAGGATTCTTAGTCAAAATAAATTGCCATGTCTTAGCAATTCAGTCAATGAGTCTGTGTGTGATGCCTGTCAACAGGCCAAATGTCATCAATTACCTTTTCCTAGATCATCTAGTGTCTCAAATAATCTTTTGGAACTTATTCATTCTGATATATGGGGTCCTGCTTCTACTTCAGTAGGAGCAAAGAAATATTATGTTAGTTTTATTGATGATTACAGCAAGTTTGTTTGGATATATTTCCTTAAACATAAATCTGAAGTTTTCCAAAAGTTCCATGAGTTCCAAAAACTTGTTGAGAGACAATTTGATCGAAAAATTCTTACTATGCAAACTGACTGGGGAGGTGAGTATGTCAAACTGCACAACTTTTTTAATGAGATAGGAATATCTCATCATGTTTCTTGCCTTCACACACATCAACAGAATGAAGCTGTTGAGCGCAAGCATCATCACATAGTGGAGGTTGGCCTAGCTCTCCTCGCCCATGCCTCCATGCCGCTCAAGTTTTGGGATGAAGCCTTCCTAGCAGCTTGTTACCTCATAAATCGTCTCCCTAGCAAAGTTATACAGTTTGATACACCCCTTGAACGATTGTTTAAGCAAGTTCCGGATTATAAATCCCTTCCAACTTTTGGCTGTGCTTGTTGGCCAAACCTTCGCCCCTACAATTCCCATAAACTCCAGTTTCGGTCTAAGCAATGTGTGTTCCTTGGCTTTAGTAATCTTCACAAAGGGTTTAAATGCTTAGATGTCTCTACCGGTAGGGTGTATGTCTCTCGTGATGCCACCTTTGACGAGCAAGTCTTTCCCTTTGCAAATCTTCATCCTAATGCCGGTGCCCGCCTTAGAGCTGAAATCTCTTTGCTTCCCTCTAACCTTACAAATAGTACTTTTGATCAAGGGGGAGAGGAACAACATGATCAAAAAATGTTTAATATTCATGTATCAAATGCTACTGATGAAGTTTGTGTAGATGCAGCAACAGATACAGGATGTGATGATGGAATTACTGGAGAAAATGGGAATGAAAACGCTGGAGAAAATACTGATGCTGGTGCACTTGATCGGGTGCACATAGCATCGGAGAATCGGGCGGGAGAATCCCTCTTGGATCCCGCTCCTGATGCGACATCAAGCCAGGGGGAGCAGGCGGTCTCCTCGGGATCGGCGAGCCAGGGGGAGCAGGCGTCCTCGCCGCAGCGTTCTCCCGCGCGCTCGTCTGCTGGGAACCAATCACCAGCTGCCGCGTCAACCCCAGTCGTCAGCGCACGCATGCACGCTATCAATGTGCCGACGGGATCAAGTGCGCCGACAGCTCATGCACAGCCATCTGTGTCCTCTGAGGTAATGAGACCAAAGACCAAGTTGCAGAGTGGGATTAGAAAGGAGAAAATTTATACTGATGGTACTGTTAGATACAGTTGTTTTACATCATCTGGGGAACCATAAACTTTGAATGAAGCTTTAGGAAATAAAAACTGGAAAGAGGCAATGGACAATGAATATCATGCTCTCATGAAAAATAAAACCTGGCACTTAGTTTTCCCTAAGAGAGGATTAAATGTGATAGATTGTAAGTGGGTGTACAAAGTTAAAAGAAAGGCAGATGGCAGTCTTGATAGATATAAGGCTAGACTTGTAGCAAAAGGATTCAAACAAAGATATGGCATAGACTATGAAGATACCTTTAGTCCTGTAGTAAAAGCTGCCACTATCAGAACTATATTGTCTATAGCTGTCTCTAGAGGTTGGACTCTACGACAGTTAGATGTGCAAAATGCCTTCCTTCATGGAGTTCTAGAGGAAGAAGTCTACATGAGACAACCACCAAGATATGAACAAGGTAACTATGTGTGTAAGTTGGATAAGGCTTTGTATGGTTTGAAACAGGCTCCTAGAGCATGGTACTCTAGGCTAAGCACAAAATTGCATGATCTAGGTTTCAAGTCATCTAAGTCTGACACGTCTTTATTCTTCTATAACAAAGGAGATGTT